TTTGATGTCGTCGAGATTTACTAGCCCTCTACGAATTGTAGACCTCCTGTCAAAAGTGATCGATTTCTTGAGGCTAGTAATAAATAAAAGACCGATCGATCACTATTCGTAAAAATCCGTTAATTTAGGAAAATATATACATTCAAAATTAGGCGGCTTTGCCGCAGATAAAAATAAATAAAAATCAGTTTTGGATTCTGAACGGAAGAGTAATTAGCCTTGGGTTAATGCAATAATTACTCTTGGAGTAAGCGGATTGCGATCTGCTACTCGTACTTGTTCTAAGTATAGAACGAAAGGTCGGTGACCTAAATTTCGTTTCCTGTAAGCGCTACGGCAGCCCCGCTGCAGAAACTATGCATCCGATAATATGGGACTCGCTTACCGCCTTTTGAGCTTACCTCTTGCGAGTGTAACCCGTAGACAATTGTCAAGGGTTAAGAAATGGAGGACTTAAGATTAAATTCTATATGATATCCACTGGCCCTTTTTTTAAACGGAGACGGTGACTACTTTTAGCGGCTTGCACCGAGAGCTCTCGCATTACCTAACTCTGAGAAATCGGCGAGTGTCGTTTCTGACGCGGAAGACATCTTTCGCCGCGTGGATCGTTTGATTGGAATTGCCATATATCACGGACCATAACTCGATCGAGTAGATGAGTAATTTCTATCAAGCTGCGCAGCGCCATGGATCCCAGAGATGCAACATCTGTACAATCTCCGAAAAGTCAGGAGTTACTCCTATCTGTGACGTCTCAGAGGTACAACAAGGTCGATAGTCAAAATCCTCGCTAGAAAACTTCGCATCTCAGTAGGCACTTTGCGTCTAGTGATCTAACTTAAGAGTTATTGTACATCGTGAGAACGAGGTGAATAAAAATCTGTTCTTACGACAAAGGCACTCTCTCCGAGGCTCACAGCTTAAGGTAACAGTAAGAAACTTGATAGCTTCCGGAGCCAATAAAATCCAGATAGATTCGGGAGTTTCGTGTAATCTTTTTCTATTGTTATAAATCGAAGAAGATATTATGACTTTGAAACTTACCGTATCATTGATACGGTAAGTTTGTACCGTGATATTTCCCATATCACTGTATCTTGCGGCAAGATCATGTTAAAATTTTGTGTAAGCCATACTGGCACTTTGGGAGTGTGGAATGCTATTAAGTCCTGGACATGGATTCGAGAAACCATCTCATCATAGGTATGGGCTACCAGGAGCCCCATGATCTATCAATCAAATGGAAGTAGAAGCAGGGTGCCATGAACCTATTATTTGTGGACCTTTGGTAAGTCATGAACCATTCTCGCTAGAAAACGTAGGTGTTGTTAGTTCTGCGACGACTTTGGCGCAAGACACAGACTTCTATGCCAGGAATTGCTTTCTGTTATCTTGTCGATCATCATCACGAAGCCGAGAAGATGCTTATATGCGAAAGCAGCGATCATGAATTTATTATAGATATCAATGCGGCAAGTCGCTGTATAAAACTTTTAAGGCTCATACTTTGTGAGCGGGTGATACTCGAGTTTAAGTGATGTTAAGAGTACCCACATTACATGTGGTGTGATGTACATTTTGGTTTTGGTTTTCATTCTATTTTAGTGATACACTGCTAACAATGTGTGAGTTTGTCAAGACTAAGTTACTTCCAAGTGGTAACTCCATTCCTGATGTGGGGCTGGGTGTGTACCAAAGCGCACCTGGTTCTGAGACGTACCAAGCTGTGCTTGCTGCCCTTAAGCTTGGCTACCGTCACATTGACACAGCCACTGTATATCGAAATGAAAAAGACGTAGGTGACGCTATTCGAGACTCAGGAATATCCCGTGAAGAAATCTTTGTCACCAGTAAGATAGTCCCATCTCAGAGCAAATGGTGCTACAATGATGTAGTGGAGGGGGTGCGTTTGAGCAATCATAAGCTCGGACTTGACTACATTAATCTGTATCTGCTGCATGCCCCTTTCGACAGCACCACACGCTCTGAAGCATGGAGAGCCCTGGAGGATATGCAAATTGAGGGTCTCGTGCGCGATGTCGGCGTATCTAACTTCGGCGAGCTGCATTTGAGAAAGCTGGCAAAAACGTGGCGTTTAAAGCCTGCAGTGAATCAAATAGAGCTGCACCCCTGGTTGGCTCGTGCGGACACAGTCAAGTACTGTGAGGAGCAGGGAATTTTATTGGAGGCATACTCACCCTTGGCTCGTGCTAAAAAAATGCATGACCAGACCCTCCAAAAAATCGCGAATGAAGTGAGTGCTACACCGGCACAAGTTCTAATTGCTTGGACTTTGTCGAAGGGTTTTGTGACTTTGCCTAAATCGGTCGACGAGTCGAGAATTAAAGAAAATCTGGAGGCCGCCAAGTTGATTCTTACGACAGAACAGATGGAAACGCTTAACGGTTTGGACACATACTTTGTTACAGCGTGGGATCCAATCAAGGACCACGCAGTTTAAACTGAAACAATCGGACATGGAATTATATATGGTGGTCCTCATTCGTTTCCTTGAAAACACTTGGTCATCTTACGTTTGTGTCTCTCCATTCAGTTTTGACATGGTAAAAAGGTTAGATTGTCAAGTTGGTGAAACGATACTACGCCTGCAGCTACGTTGAATTCGACCGCTACAAAATGAACAAGCATTTAACTATGATCTCGTAGTTTGCAAGTGGTGTTTACTGTCCGATTATATACTGACATTTAACATTTATAGTCTAAATTACGAGTAAAGCGGTGGTAGGTCATAAGACGCATGACCTGGAACAACTTCCGCATTAGTTCCTAGGCGGTGCGCTTGTATGAACCCAGTCGACCCGGATCCTTCTAGCGAAGTGAAGGTAATCTCACCCCCAAAGTAACGTGCAAATAGCCGTGCTATTGGCAGTCCATATCCACCTCCACTGAAGTGTTGCCTATAGCTTGGAAAACTACCAGGCTTCATCGGTGGACAAGATGGACTTGTAGTGTAGTCATAGTGCCACAGCTTCTTCCAGCGGCTGCGTGGTACACCCCCACCCTCGTCACTGACTTTGATAGTTAGATCCTCACTTCCGACGCAAGCGACGATCTCCACGGGTGGAAGCTCTCCTCCATACTTGTATTTGCTAACGTCAGGATATATCTTGACACCAGATACGTCTTCAATCTGCACAATCTCGTCAGCATACAAATGTGCCAGGTAATTTATCAATCTCTGAAACAAGCTCACCGAAGGAAGAAAAAATCCTAAAGATGGGCTCTTCGGATTCATGATTTGCTTGTAATGATTGACGGCAGCAGGAGCTGCGAGAGTCCGTCTTTTGTGATACTCTATTGTCGCGCGCATTGAGTTCTTCACCAGCTCAAAAACCTAGACAGATCATAGCGCCACCAAGTCAATTTTTTTCTTTGGCAATCTAAAGGGATTTTAGGCTAACCATGTGATGCAAGTGCGACCGCACATACATCAACGGCGTGGTGGTACTCGCCGTCGCGTGAATTTCGACTGGCGGGGCTTCGCCACAGTACTTGATACACAAGATTGTGGCTCGATCG